TGGAGATTTTTTCCTTCTGCCTTTGCATTATGTGGTGGTGAGAGATGAGGGATGAAGGGCAGGGGGAGGTTTGCTCCCTGATAGTTAGAGCTGTATTGCACACGTAGGGCTGCAAGGCTGGGCAGACCCAGACCTTTTCTCAGCTTACCCTGAAGCTTGTTCTTGTTGATCCTGCTTTGTTGACCAGACTCTTGCATCTCCTTTGTTCAAGAAAAAGGTGGTATTGCAGGTAGCCTACGATGCCTCTGCTTGGTCCTGAGCGTCCAGTAGAATAAGCAGATGTTTTCATCATGACAAAGTGGCTTATCAACGCAAAATCTACTGTACTTACTTCAGGAAGACTGGAAGTAGAAAGGAAACGAAAAGCAACTGTTAAAAAAGAGAAGGATTAGTAATAAAAGAGAGTTATACAAATTTTTGGGCACTGGAATTAGAGTGGAACAGAAAACTCTCCAAAGTACTCAGTGCAGAGAAAAACAGATGAAAAGGTTTGTTTCATCCATCAGAAGAAACTTCCTCTGTTGACTCTGCCTGAGAAAGCTGTAGCTGTGTCATTTGTGGGAGAGAGCAGTAATTTGTGTAAGAAGAGATCTCCACCATGTTCAACTTCTCATTTTTCCTCAGTAAACCAGCCTTGAAACTTCTGCTTGTGGAAAAACTTGTCAAAAGTCATCACGCTAAACTATGAGAAAACGTGTGACTTGAAAGTGAGGGTTGCCTTCTGTGCTGGACAAATGGCAGTGTGTTATTTTGTTAGCTGAGACCTGTGTTTGGACACTATACTGGGGTTGGGGTTTTTTTTTTTGGTTAGTTTGGGTTTTTTTTTTAGCTAGTCCTATAACTGCAGCCACAGGAGGCAGACACAGGCCTAAATGGATCCTGCCTCCTGGTTTTCCAAGGCGACTTGTGTTACAAAGCAAGAGCAAAGCTTTAGCAGTTGGGGTCTGAGGGTTTTTCTCTGCTGCAGCTTTTTGCCTCAGTCACCTGGGGCAGCACGAATCTCTGCATCTCAGATGGTGTCTGGATGGAGCATGGATGCTTCCCAGGAGGGCTTGGAGGGTCGTTGTCCTTCTTCCATCTTACCAAGAGAGTGTGGTTAGCCAACGTGTTAAGGCAAGGCACCAGTTTTACCTTGGATGTGTGGAGTGGCAGAGAGAAGAGCATAGGAGGCTCTGGAGAAGTGACTTTTTAGGTCTTTGAGCTGCATGTAGATTAACTAATTCAGTAGACAGTGTTGGGTGGTAGATGGGTAATGGAGATAAAATAGGTTAGAAAGAAGATATTTTCATTATAGTTACAGAGCTCTGCAGGAGAACAGGAGAAAATGATTAGTGCTAAACCTGCTCTAAAGTCCCTCAGTAAATAAGCTGGGGTAGATGAGACCAAGGGTGACTTCTGGTCTGGGTGCAGTATGTGGTGGGGCACTCTAGGGGCACGCTTGTGATCACATCAGTCTACTTTATGGCTATGTCAATCAAGTGGTGTTCCGGGTGGCAAAATTGTATTAATTCACTGCCTAATTTATATAGCGTGTCTCATAAATTAACTATTTCATACATTTAAAAATGCAGTGAAAATGAAGCATTTTTCTTACAATGTTAATGTGGTTTTTTTCAAATGAACTTAATCACTGGATGAACCATGGCCTTTGGCAAGCTGCTTTGGCTCATGTTGCAGCATTTACATGACACTTTTAAGTAATGTAGCTAAGTCATGGGTTTGACTCTATAATGTATTTCACTTTCATTTCATGTGTTCAGAGTAGTTGTCTTTTTTTTTTTTTTTTATTAGAAACAAAATTGGATTAATCTCTGAGTGGAATGGCCAATGAAAGCAGCACTAGTGTGTTGTTATAGAAGATTCACATTACTTGTAGTTAATTGGAAGGATGCTTCTGGCAAGTTTATAAATGTGTAGGAGGACAAGATTACCCTGACATTTCAAAGAGAAAATATTTCTTACTGAAGACTGAGATTTTTATTGTGTTTACGAAAAGGGAAGCTGCTTTTTCTAATGCGGTGATTAATTTAGATTTTATTTTTTGTCATAGCATTCATTGTGAGACAAATAATGTGCAGTTAGCAGGAAGGTATTATCTGTAGCACTGGTAGGATGGATAATATTTGAAAGAGGTTAAGTATAATGTTATTGCAAGAAAATGGTAATACATTTAGTTGGAATCTTGCTTGAAGTACAAAAGTGTAACAAATAAATTGTATGCATGGGAATGTTCAGATTTCCCTGTCCCCCCAACCAACAAGTATTCAGGTGTCCTGATCCACTCTGTGATGATAATACACCTGTTAATAGGCAGTTACTGTGCATGTTTCCAAAACACAGCCTCTGCTTTGTGGCCAGAATCTGTGTCAAAAACTGAAGCAACTGGGGTTTTCTCCCAACCTTTCTGATAAACGTATCAATAGACTTGGGCTGCCACGACCCAGACCCCCTGTACACGAATGCTGCTGCACATTACTTAAACTGGTGGCACATCATCTTGCATTTGAAGTGGTTTGGGTTAGGTCAAACTTAAGTGTCTACAACTAACACTTTTTTTCTTATACGGGTGTGTCACAGGTTAAATGTCTTTTATAATTTCTTAAGGGATGAGATCTTAAGGTAGAGTGGCTCTGAGGTTTATTAATTATTAATTCTGATCTTAGGAGTATATAAGTATCGTGATGATTAGAGTTCATTGCTTCATGTGCCTCTTCAGTACATAATTTATTTCTAATGGTGTATGCAAGAAACTCTTTCATCTTTTTTGAGCTTTGACTGCTAAGATGGGTACGTTAGCCTTGAAGCAATGCTATCTGGTATGGAGAAGAGCCAGTGTAAGATTTTCATCAGCAAAACAACAGAGACTCCATATGCCAAGTAGCAGTTGCCCAGCATAATGATTGGCATGCTGGAGTTTTTGGCTCCTTCAGCCTAATGTTGGTGGCACAATTCAGAGCTGTTCATATTTTTAGAAAATGAACTTAATATTGTTTGGGCTTGTACTACAGTATTTCTAGAGAATATTGCAGACCCATTTCTTTTAAAATAATAATTTTAGAAGTGTTGTATCAAAAATAGTGGCAAGAATAATGGTGACTTTATTATATTGGAACACCTAAAAGTTAAAAGTTTTGCCAGCTAACATTTAGTGTTAATACTTGATATTGATCCTGCTTGAAACAGCTAAGGTGGTTTATTCCTAAATTTTGGTTTGGGGTTTTTTTTTGTTTTTAATCATTGCTGAAATCATAGTGTGACTTTGATTCTGGTTTTCTGAATGTTTGTTTCACTGCATATTCTTTCTTTTTTTTCCACAGCTATTCAATGTCAAAAGTTAGGTGTTTAGTCACTGGATATCCATTCAGAATTTGTTGGATGTGAATTGGCTTGCTCTATTAGCTGGCAAAAATTAGTATGGCATGTGCTCTCTTAAAGAGAATGTGCTAAGTGATCTGTGAGAGGCTTTCTACCCAAGTGTGAGTTTTTTGATTAAAATTGTTTTGCTTTGTTTTAATCCTTTTTTAAACTTAAATTAGCTACTGAATTCTGAAGTATGTGGCAAACAAAGCATGCAGGGTATTGTCCTTTACTTAGAATTACTGCTGATGTTAGTGACAAAAATGGTGACTTCTTTCAAAATCCTTTTTCGTAATTTTGCTCATTTTGTTGTACAGGCAAAGAAATTAATTGATGAAGCATAAAAAGTGCTGGAAGAAAGTGTATCTGCAAAACGTTATTGAAATTGGCAAATAAGAATTTAGCAGAAACTGTTTTGTACTGTGGCTTCTGTCAGTGTTTTAAACTTATGTTTTGTTTGTGCAAAACCTTCGAATTACAGAATACTTAGCTCTGAGGAGGCTATCCCCCAGAGTTGTTCATCCTCAAATTGAAGTGACTTATTATGGTCTGATTAGAATTTTGTGGCAGAGCAAAAAAGTGAATTCTTTCTGAAAAATGTAAGGGAGGGGGGTGTTGTCTTGAAAACCAAAGCAAAACACTCTTAAGGCCTTCCTTGCTCACCATGGAAAATTAAAAAACCAAAAGCATCCATGCAACCGGTTTTCTTTTACTAGTTAGTTTCAAACAGATTCCTCTTTAAATGTTAGACTTACATATGTAAGTTGTATACTCTGTGTAGGTGTAAGTGGTAGCTAATATTGGTGTATGTTTTTTTATATATTAATTTTGTTCATTGGGCAGATTTAAGTATAGTGACTTTCACTGTTTTATCCTAAATAGTAAATTAAACTCTCATCTTGCAAAATTCTGCATTTCTGTTAACTCTGCCAAGATACCATCTGAATTCAGTGTGACTAACCGTTATCACAGTTAGATGTATGTGTTTGCAGCACCAGGAGTTTCTTTTTCATCTATTAGCTGCTTGTTTTATTGTCTTATTAGTAAGGGAATGATAAAATATGCTTTTGTCTGAAATATAGTATACTGATGATAAAAACCATGAAAAGGGCAGGCATTTATGGAGGCTGGCAAGAGATCCTGAATCTATTTTGAGTTGATTTAGACCTCAAGTTGGTAGTGAATTTTAAATAATAGCTTTATTGAAATGTCTTTCGCAATCACACTGTATTAATACTATATACTTGAACTTGAGGTTGGCCCAATAGACAAATGCATTCCATCTTCAAGTTTTGGAATAGCATATCATGGATGAAAAATGAAGGAAAATGTTTGAGGTGCTGTTTGCATACTAAGCCAATGGCGTGAAGGGGTTTCATGCCTTCCTGGGTGTCTCAGTCATTTTGATGTTAGACTCCTTGTAATTTTGCTAAAATATACTTTGTTGAACAGAAGATATCCAGAAAGTCTTGCATTAATTTGCTTTTGTTTTTGCTCTTTAGACAGTGCCCTGTTACAAACTAAAATCACACATTCCTGAGTGTAAACTGATCGTGTTCCCAATGGAAATTTCAGGAATACTTGTGGCTATTTTCAAAATGTGGAAATCTATTTATATTTTTTCCACTTGTTTTTCTTCCTAGGTTTTGGCACTGATTGCTTTCATCTGCATAGAGACCATCATGGAATGCTCCCCTTGTGAAGGCCTTTATTTCTTCGAGTTTGTGAGCTGTAGTGCATTGGTGGTTACTGGAGTTCTGTTGCTTATGTTCAGTCTAAATCTTCACACAAGAATACCGCAGATCAACTGGAATCTTACTGTAAGTTCATACAAATCCTCGCTCTGTTAAAAATAGCTGCAAATCTGTTTTTATTTGGTTGTTGAACTTTACTTTCTACTGTTGTTTAAGATTGTGTGTGAGTGTTCTTTATGCTGAGTAAAGTATACATTTTACTTCTATTTTGAATACTAACAGCAGAATGAGCTTTGAAATGTAGCAAGATTAAACTACATTAAATAGAACTGAAATTGTCTTCTGTTAGATTCTCCTTGGAAGGAAAAATTTCCTGCTAATGCCAGCAACTACTTTTTGTAGATGAAGTGGATAAAAATGCAGCCTGTAGTTATTTAACTTTGACAGATGCTGTATTTACAGTAGCCCGTTGTTCTTTCTTAAGCTGTTTTTTATATTAGGACAGCCACACTACATATGTTTTCTTACACAGATTAATACAATCATCGGGTAGTAATGTAAAAAATTATGTGCTTTCTGTGAAAATCAGGTGTTTTGAATTGCTTACACACATAACTATCAAACATTGACTGGCAGTGCTTAATGTGTTCTCAAATACAAGGAGTTTTAGGAAGAGAACTGCTGGCAGTGCACATTCCTTTTGTACAAGTCTCCATTTCCATCCTGCATTATGAGTTAAACTTTCAGATTGGGTTGCATAAACACAAGTCACAAAATCAATATGTTAGTCACTCTAGCAAAAGATCTGTCAGCTTCAAGGACAATATTTACATCAGCCCCTTGGACAGTACAGATACATATGTGCCTATGTTCTGTTTTATTTTATAACAGTAACTTTGTAAGTACTGTTGGAGACCAGTCCTGGAGGTTTCTAAGCTTCTGTGCGGGGTTTTTTTCTGTTTGTTTTTAATGTCATTTATTAATGTTGCAATTGGCACATTTGCAGTAATTGTTTATAAGCCTAAATGACTTGTCTAAAATGAGACTGGAATGTGGAATTAGATGATTCTTTGTACACTGGGGATGTATGATCTGTTGAGGAACTCTTCCTAAGAATACCTGGTTGATAGATTAGATGTACTGAGAACTGACCACTGGTAACTGTAGGTGGGGGAGATCCAGATAGCTTGCAAAACAAACCAGTGGAACCACTGGAATGTTACTGGATTGTCTTGCCTTTGCTCCTTTTGTCTCCATTCTGCCAATATTGTCACTACTGATCTTTGTGGCAAGTTGAAAAGCAGCAGCTGCAGAGAGAAGATAGTCTCTGTTTCTGTTGCCAGTCTGGTTGTTTTATGAGCATCACAACTGCCTGACAGCTGATAACAGCAATTGAAGACCATCTTTTTATACCACACAGTTCTGTACATGCTAGTAGGATGTACAAGAGCATGATAACAAGTATGTAAGTGCATCAGTGTCACATAAAATACATGGTGTTTTTGCTGGTGTGATGTGAGTGGTTTCACAGTGAATTTCAAAGTAACTTTGACCAAGACTTTTTATGAAGAGAGCACAGAGTGGTATGCATGGTGTCCATGACAGAACTGCAGTTGTATCTCTGGAGGAGTCAGTTTAATGACTTTGCATACCCTTGGTTCTGTACGTCTGTACGTTTTGTTCTGTTGTTGAGCCCCATGGCACACTTCTATCTACCAGAACACTTTGACGATATCTTGAACAAACATGAGTACAGAAGCCTAAATGCAGTGCTCTGCCTTTTCCCCCAAATAATGCAGTAGATATCACTGTGTAACTGGGAGGTCCTTTCAGCCACTCTGACTTCTTACGGGAGTTGAGTGACAAGAATTGCTGCATTGAGTGCAGCCTTACTTGTCTCTGCATAGCACTCTGTTAGAGACCTTTAGAGAAAAGAGGGCTTAAAAATCCAACCAGTTGTGATGTGGTGTGTGGTGGGGTTTTTTTTTTGTTTTATTGTGTGTGTTGTGGGTTGTTTTTTTTTAAAGTTAAGTATTTTGGTTTTTAGGGCAATGGTCACAGTCCAAATTCCCTACCTAAACAGCATGCAGCAACATTATGTGGTTGAGTTCAACTTGAAGGGCAAATGGAATATACTGCAAATGCTTTTGCTTTAGCTCACATTGCCAGATCAACAGAGGTAGAATTGTCCTGATCTTGCAAGTTTCATTCTTTTAGTTATGTACTGAAGGTGAAATGCTTCTTCCATCATTATACCAAAGATCTCTAACAGAACTGAGAAGAGAATTGGAAGCTTCTGACTTCCATTAAATGATGAAAGCATCCTTCTTCCTGGTACTGCTTACTGATTTTAACAGTCATTATTCTGATAGGACCGTTACTCTGACGAGAGTGTGGGAGTATCTGCATTATTCATATGGCTGCAGTCTGCTGTTGCATGTGCAGAGTGGGAGATCGAAGGCTGCTGATAAAACACCTATGGGAGGTTACTTTGGCAAAGTTAGTAGGAAATTTAAGAATGTAGAGTTGTGGCTGAAATGCTTTTTTAGCTTATTTTGGCATTTAACTATTTACAATTTAGTTGTATATTCATACGTTATTTGCCTCAATATTTATTTCTTTCCTGTGTTTTGATGGTTATTTGGATAATTTTGCAGCCTTTGTGTATGACACAGTTATCACAGGAATTGCTTTCTGAACAGACTTTCACGCTCCTAAATGCTTTAGGAGGAAGTCACTCCTGCCTATGTATAAATTCATTAATATACATGCTTTAAAAAAATACGTATGACTTTATAATGATTACTTCCCTCGTGAAAAATCTCAAACTTTGCTTTTAGAAGTTGTGTGAGGAGGAGACTGTTACAGTGCTTGAAAGAATTTAGTAGTCTTAAATTTAGGAAGAAGACTTTCTTTAAACACAGCACTTGAGCAAACTTCCTAGAACTATTTGAAACCATTTGCTTTCGAATGATCCCACATATTAGAAAGTACCAAGCCATCAACTGCTATTGTCCAACACAGGATTGTTTCCTTTAGTACTTCACAAAAATTAGACTACTTTATAACATATGGATATTGTCTGGTGTCCACTGTCCCTGGTTGGAATGAAAATGTGGATCAGTATATACTGACATCTAACAGATATGCAAATCTGCTATATTTTTTTTTAATACATATTTTTAGCCATTTGGGAAAAACTTTATTTTGAGCCTAATTAGAGACTTGCCAACCATTTTCACATTTTCCTGAGGTAAACATGAAAGAAACACTGAGAAGGTGAGGTCAGAAAAGAATCTTGCTTGGGTGTGTTGGAAAGACGCAGGTCTGTTACAGTAAGATGAAAGAACAGTCACTTGCCTGTGTTGTGCAGCACTATCAATATTATGCAAAATGCAAAAGCTGGGGAACCTGTCAGTGGAAATTTCCATTTCCTTTATGTTTCACGGCTCAAAGGGAGCCTATTACGCAAGGAGACTTGCAAGTGGCATAGGGGAATGAAGAGCACACCACAGCAGATCCCTGCTTAACTGATGAGCTGCTGCTTTGACATGTTTGTTTTCAGAGTTAACTAATAACTGAATGTTTGCTATAATTTAGTGTTTGGCTAAATTAGACGCCCCCCCCCCCTTTTTTTTTAAATTCATTATTTGAATCTCATGTGTTCTACAGAAAGAGCTTAAGAACTTGCAGCCAACCTGTGTGGATGATACACCCTTCTAGAAGTAGGGATGGGGTAGGAAAGTTAACAGAAGCCTTTGTAGTATCTTTGTTCTTTTGACTTTACATGTGGTTTGTCAGGCTTTCTGACAATTACTGCCACTGCAGAGTGGACCCACCATAATGCTGCAGTACGTTTTTTTTCAGGGCTGAGAACTGAGATGACTTGGGGAGCAGGAGAAGTGATGGCAAATAGCTGAGAATACTGGTCTTTGACAGTGTCTCTTGGATGAAAGTTTGCATGATGAGAGAAATCAGAAATTACAGCCACAAATCGTTGCATAATCAGCCAGTAAAATGACTATTTATGTATGTGTGTAGAAAAAAAATCATCCAATAGATTTTCACCATGGATTTTTTTAAAAAAATTTTTTTAAACATCCAGTGCAGTTCTGGTAGTGTATTTTGTGTGTGTGTGGTTCTGAATGCAGTGTTTTTCAGCCTACAGCAGCCTCAAAGATGAGGCACAGCACAGCACAAACTAATTAGAGCTCTATCGGGCTTATTAGCCTGGACTCAGTCCCAGGAAAGCACTGCTACAGGGAGGAAACAGGAGTTGTCAGGTGCGTGTCTCCTTGAAGACACAGATCAGTGTTTTCTTGTGCTGCCTGAAAACTTATTTCATCATCTTTGCAGGGTTGGGGTTCTTTCAGTTGTTGCAGTGATGAAACCTTATGTGCAAGCAACTGACACTGAAGTAGTTGGTGGAAAACTTGATGTGGTGCCAGAAAGACAAACTGTCTTATGCCAACCGGGGCTCTGAAGAGTGTAATTGCAAAGCTTGAGTTCAAAGGCCTTCACAGGGCAATCTGGAATTTTATTTTTTTTAAAATTTATATTTTTCCCCTTTTGTTTTGAAAAAACATCTTGGTTTTCTTTGGCTTTCTTAGCTGTTGAATAAGAAATTAAATAAGTCATCCTTCACTTCTATGTTTACTGCTGTCAAAATAGCAATACCTATTAAGGATAATACTGAATATTTTATAAATGAAAAAAAATGTCAAAATGAATCTCCTCCAGGTTAGTGCTCCTTGTGGACACTCGTTCTCATTTGGTGCAACCTGGTATAAGCAATGATGCATTTTCCTGTAAGAAATACAAATACAAGTTTTAAATACAAGAAATATTTACGTGGTTTGGTAGTTATTGGTAGTAAGGTCTGTCGCTTTGTGACAATGACAGCTGGTCCTGCCTGTGTGCAGGACTGCTTATTGGAAAAACATGCAGGGAAAGCAGTGAGGAGCAGCTAAAAAAGAGCTGAGAGGGAAGAAGGCAGGTGATCTTCAAGAAACCAAAATGAAACGGGGATTGTAGAAGCATGCATTCAGGAGTGTGTTGTCATTTACAGCGGAGTTACCACATCTAACAGAGCTTGTATTCTAACTCAAAAATACTTAGAAATAAGA